AAACACGACGCCAAAGTGATTCAGCATCATTCAGACTTTTTGGTTTCTGGGATTTTGATAGCACCTTGATTCACCAACATTTGAAGCTCTTCCTTAGCCATCTCGCGCGCACTTGAAGATCTTGAGTCTCTAAGAAAGCAGATAATATCTTTGCATTGTAGAAAAAAAAAGAATAGAAACAGAGAGAGGAGATTCAACACATTCAAAGTGCTTATAGATAAAATAGTGACAGGAGTGATTAGGCTAACCAGTTTCCCCGACAAGGCCTTATGGAAGCAAAAGCAAAAACAAAAGGAAGCAAAAGCAGGACAGTCCAAGAGCAGTCTATCTTTATTGTTCGGCTTGAGTGAAAATCTTCTAGGATGTGCAGTGAATTCTTCTCTTACTCTTCGGGTTTCGGCTTTGCTGCTACAGAGTCAATGGCTTTGTACAGCTCATGCAGCTTCTTGCTCAGAGATGAGCAATGAAATACCATCTGAGCTTCCCCAACCTGATATCAAATAAATGTGAAAATGAGGAAAAACAAGAGAATAGCTGAGCGCAAGAACATCATGACAGTTGGAAACAAACATTTGTTATTTTATTGTTATTGAAAGCAGCATGTTGTGGAAGCGGGAGGTGAGAGCATACAAATATAATTAAATGGTTACAAGAAAGAGTTTCAAAAAAAAAAAAAAAAAGGTTACAAGAACATGTTACCAGGGGCGGACCCATGCTTTAATAGGGTGTGGCATGTGCCACAGGCTGAATTATAAAATTTGTTACACAAAATAGATAGAAATGGTAGTGTTAGCTCATCCCTCTATATATTAAAAGAGAAGTACATTTGCCAGGTGGCACTCACACAGCCCTTCTCAGAAGAATTCTAGCGATTCTATTGGTTGACTTTTTGGAATTTATTTTTACCATCGACATTACTAAAAAGGAAATCCATTTAAATACTTACCTTTTGTGTTTTCTCGATTCAAAAAACATCATTTTGCGATCCTTTCTCTGTTTAATTCATTAAATACTCATTAAATATTTTAGATGTGAGAGAAACAAAATTAATTGACAAGATATTTTCACTCTTAAAATCATGCATTTAAAACAAAATTAATTGATAAGATATTTTCTCTCCTAAAATCATGCATTTAAAACTTAAACCAAAATTCTGGTGCAATCTATTCACGAGATGTTCTCCTTTAACTTTATCAACAAGATATTCCAAAAATAATATTACCTTAAAAGTATAAGATTTATTGAGAATTTATTAGAGAATATGTTACTTCTTAGCTTATCATGCAAGCTAAATCATTGAGAAATGTCCATCAATTTACTATAAATAAGACATTCACAGTAGAAGAAATGAAATCATTGAACTTTGTATTCTGAACTTTTTATGTTAATAATGTTCTAAACTTTTTTTTTCTTCTTATTTTAGAACATTAAGCTTTTATATTTCATGAGAGCTGATTTTTCTTTTGGTTTATATGTAGATATCCTATTATGACGATTTCTCCACTGAAGCTATATATGATTTGATTGTACACCTCTTTGATATATCATTTCGATAACATCTTTCCTCAATCTGGTAAAAAGAATTATCTATTTGATAACATCTTTCAGCTATATCATTTCAATAGCATCTTTTTGTGCTGCCAATATTTTTTTTTTTGATTAGTAGTTTTATATTATTGTTTAGAATTATAAGCTTATATATACATATATATTTCTTTCGTTTGCTGATTGTGATTTTTTTTTATGATCTTTTTAATTAAAATTGATATATTTTTTTGGTTTTCAATTATATGATCTTTTTAATTAAAATTAAATATATATAGTAATATTTATTAATCAAAAAGTTATATCAACTACTTTTTATATTTATTATTTCCTTATTATATATCATTTAATATTTAAATATCTATAGTTTAAATGTAATTTACCTTAATCTTTTTAGTTTATTAATAACCTACCTTATTTTGAACACATATTACTTGTGCAACTTCAAATTATATTTATTGCATTGTTTTAATGCAATTTACCTTAATGTTTCTAATTTGTTTATCGTCTTTATAAACTTATTTTGAACACATATTACTTGTGAATCTTCAAATCATATTTATTACATTGTTTTAATGCAATTTACCTTAATGTTTCTAATTTGTTAATTCGTTTTAAAAAACTTACCTTATTTTGAATATGATTTAATTGCACAAGTTTTTAACATATTAATTGCAAATTATTTAATGAAAATATAACTTTAATATCTTTCTTTGAACTGTTTCATTATTTATTATGAAATTATATTCCTAAACATCATTTGTTATGAAAATATCTCCCTAATAACATAAGAAAAAAAAAGGAAAGTAGAGTATATACAAAGGAGACACCTAAGGGATGTCAATACTAACTTATTAGTCTATTTTTATTCGATAAAAAAATTTAAATTTATAAATTCTTACATTTGTTTGTTTTTTCTATTAACAGATAAATAACACAGACGAAAGACCGGTTGTAGTTAACTACAAATCATTTATCAGTTTGTTTCAATAGTGATATGCAAATTTAATATTATTTTNTGTTTGTTTTTTCTATTAACAGATAAATAACACAGACGAAAGACCGGTTGTAGTTAACTACAAATCATTTATCAGTTTGTTTCAATAGTGATATGCAAATTTAATATTATTTTTGTCTCAATAAAATTTAGAAATCTATTAAATTATTTTATATTGTACAGTTGCTAACAAAATTTGACAATTTTTTGCAGGTTTCTATGGGATATTTTTAATTCATAACTGATCTTCTTATTTTATATTACTTATTTAATTCACAAGATTGATTGGTAATAATTAAGAATGATTTATGTTAACGTATTAAATATAGAACATCTATATAGCAATAAAAAGAATGTAATAAATAATATGAATATATTATTTGATACTAACTTATCGTGCAACCATATCAACACTGTTATATATATCTTACATTTTCTTATGGTTTACATTTTAAGTTGCTTATTTTCTTTAAAGCTTAATCTATTGGCGTTTTTTAGAAAAAAATAACTTATGTGCCTATGTACTTAAAAAAACTAACAAAATATGAATGTCTATTTTGAAAATCTAAAACAGAGATATGGAAAAAAAGAACTTCTTCTGTTATCTGCAAGGACTATGATGAAGAAAATATTGAAGTTATTAAAGAAGCATGTTATTGGGCATCAGCAAAGGGTCGACGCAAGTTGTTTTGTGTCCTATTACTAACACATAGTATCACAAATCCAGAAAACGTTTGGAATGCTATTTGGAAAAAACTATCACAAGATATATTATGCAACCAAAGAAAAAATACGGATAAACCAAGTAAATTCATGTTTTTATCAAAAGAAAACGTCATTAGAAATTGTGTTTGGGTAAATATAATTTTTTACATGTTCTTTTAGAATTGGAGTAGATTGAATCAATCATGTTTTTGAACGGAAGCTCATTGACGTTGTTTAAGTTTAGAATGTGTTATCAATAGTATACTCTTCTATTGGTTAAACTGTGGTTTTTGTTAGAATTTCTATTAATTGAATTTTTTGTTTTACTTTTGTGGAATTCGCGTTATTGTGATGTTATAAATTAATAATAAAAGCATTTTCTCATTATTGTCGTATAAGTTCTTCAGTTTTATTACATCTTCTTTTTCATAGTATTGTCTTATAACTTTTATTAGATCACTGAAACAAAAAGTGAATTGATGTATCAAATGTACTAATCTTTAATGACCTAATTAAATTCCATTGTCCCAAAATCAGAATAGAGAGAGAGAGAGAGAGAGATATGTATAACATTTCTTTTAATATGTCTACATACATTTTACGAAAATTTATGCATAATAATATTTTTCACCTAAAATTAAGAATTACAACACATATACAATACAATTCTAATTAGTGATAATAGAAAATATGTTACTTATAAAACTACACACTATTAATTTCAGATTTGGAAAATAAAATTCAACCTTCAACACACAAATTTTTTTGTGATGTTGCAGTTATAAATACACGCAATAACTACCTATTGATACTGAAGTTATTTTGTTCCATCTCCTCCATGTAAAATATTGTGTACCAGGAATTTTCTGTGCCTGATGCTTTACCTCAAAGACGGTGGTCTTATGATATAAAATCTATTACTTCTAAAACTTTGTATTATTAAGTCTATAATTTGAATCTGTATATACCCGCACTGGCGGTCACCTAGTTTGGTTTAAAAGGCTTTGAAGTGTCTCATTCAACTCATCTTCGAAGCCTTCAAATTGTCAATTTTAACACACATAATTAATTGTAATCACCTTTTCATAAAACAAATTTTCCTTTCTCCTACAGTCCAATTTAGGAAATTAGTTTTCCCGTTATTCTATTAGTTTTTACCTTTCTCTGACTAGATATTAACTTTACCTTTTATAAAATAAAAATTAATTTATTTAAGTTTTACTTTAACAATTATTTGTATTAGGTTTGTATTTTTCAACTCTTAAATTAAAAGTAACAACTAAATGAAATAAATATATAAAAACTTTTGTAAGCTATAGTTATGTAATATTACTCAATAATATTTAATAATAAAAAGCAAACTTTAACTAATTTAAGCTTTTAAAATAAAATGTTAAATTTGAAATTAGTGTAATTTTATAAATTATAACATAATATAAATTAGAATACTATAAATTTTTGAAATAGCTTAATTTGTTAATTTATAATTATATTTAATATATATAAATTGTGCCCCATGTTGAATTATTTTATGGGTTCGCCCCTGCATGTTACTGTATATATTGCACGCTTTTGAGCTGTCATTTTTGTTAAAGTGATGACTGATGAGCATTTAGCTAACATGCAATTGGAAACAGTAACAAAAAAATCTCTACAAAAAGTCTCACTTCACCAACCCCACTCTCTACACATTTAATCTTTCTTTCTGGGTGTGTATTTCTTTGCTCAAACACCTTTTGCTTTTCGAGAGATAATGAATCCGAGTGACGCAAGAGGAGTACTCAGATCAGCTGGTGGGTCGAGTTCCGGTAAAAACCAAGGCGGTGAGTCAGTTGTTGAGATGTCCCCGTCGGGTCTTCGAGTTCTAGTGGTTGATGATGACCCGACTTGTCTGATGCTGTTTGAGAGGATGCTCCGGACTTGTCTTTACCAAGGTTAGAAATCACAAACACAACATCCTTTTTTTTTTTTATTTAGATCATGATGTTGAGAGATACATTTCATTGTTGAGCTTTGACTTGATTTAAAGAGAGATCCTTGTTTGTTGGTTAGGAGACTCAAACAGTTCTGTCTTAATTTGACTTGATGAATCTCTCTGTTTTTGTGAACATTCAGTAACGAAGTGCAACAGAGCAGAGGTAGCATTGTCTCTACTCCGGAAGAACAAACATGGATTCGATATTGTAATCAGTGATGTTCATATGCCTGACATGGACGGCTTCGAGCTCCTTGAACATGTTGGTCGTGAGATGGACTTACCTGTTATCAGTACGTTGGTTTTATATATGTTTTTAAGTTTGAATCTTTTTTTTGTAGAACTCCTGAGTTATAACAAGGATCTATTTTCCTGAAATTTGTTTTAACTCAGTGATGTCTGCGGATGATTCAAAGAGTATGGTTCTAAAGGGAGTCACGCACGGTGCGGTTGATTATCTAATCAAACCTGTAAGCATAGAGTCACTTAAGAACATATGGCAGCATGTGGTGAGGAAGAGGACAAGCGTTCCTCAACCTTCTAGGAGCATTGAGGATACGGGAGAGAGACAGCAACAACAGAGAGGAGGTTGTGTTGGCATAGTCAATTCTGGTGGGGAAGATGCAGCGGATGACAATTCTTCATCTGTTAATGGAAGGAAGAACCGGAGGAGCATGTTATGAACAAACTCTAGATTGCTCGTTAATAAGACATGCAATACACTGCATCTAGTGATTCTCTCCTCAAGATATCACTCTCCATGACTGGTACAATGTATCTGACACACTTGAGTGGAATCAAAAATCTCTTTCCTTTATTTATACTCTCAAGTCTTAACCATCAAAGCCTCTCTTTCTCTTCAATTCTTTGCTTCTTCTAGAATGAACCAGGAGCGTACGGAGATTACTGCCTTAAAGACTTCCGTTTAGTCCATGAACCGGAAGTGGATCACATGCATAGGTCTAATTAGGATGATACGTGTGACGTATCTCGTTGAATCAAAACATCAAAAAGGAGGTAGAATACTTAGTTAAAAGCTTGAGAGAATTAACAATAGTCTCTCACCTCTCATGCTTCTGATCTAAACTCTAAAGAACCTTATTCTCTCCCTCACCATCTGTTTACATAGCCAAGTCTCTCCTCTGTCTTGAGAGACTGTTAAGCTCACGTGCCTGGAGTATATTCTGCATAGAAGCAGGAATTCCTTCTAAAAGCATTATCCTTCACCTGTGTCTCAGTACACCAAACATAGGATTAGTCCATTAGAGGATCTGATTAAGTTAAAATTATGAGGAAGATCTTGCAGTTAAAGATTCAGTTTGAATACATTGTAACCACGGTTTTTAATGCTGCATGGAGGTAAAATAACCTATAGAAGGAAGAAATGATTTTGAAACCTAGTTGAATCTCAAAAAAGATAAAAGTTCCATATTTACCTGTAGAATAGTTGAATCTCAAAGAGATAATTTTTGTATTAATCCAAACATGATTTAGACTGAGTTGAGAATTATTCCTACTTTTTTTTTATTATTCCAGTAAGAGTCAGCGAGGAAAGAGAATTCTTTATATTGTTCTATTGATATTATAGATTAAAGAGATTTATGTTCCATAGAATTTCATGCTATAACCATAGTTTGCGGTAGAGATGGCAACTATGGACCTGGACCGCAGGCCTAGCGCGTAAAGGACTGTCGCGGGACGGTATTGGGACGAGGTTTTTTAGACCCGTAAATTTGCGGGCCTCGCGGGATGGATCTTTGCGGGGCTGGGTCTTTTGCGGGATTACAAGGACCCGCAATTTTTTCTTCATTTTTTTGTTTTATTTGGAAAAAAACGAGAAATAGAGTGAGAAGAAGACGATTCATGTGACTTCCTTCAAAAAAACGTAAGGAGCTCAGCGATGAGGATTCAATTTTCGGTGATGATGATTCGAGCTCCGACGATGACGACTCCAACTCAGGCGATGATGATTCGGGCTTTGATTGTCTTTTGATTTGGTTTGCTCTTTTTATATAATTTTGGATTCACAGTTTTGATTTAATATTTTTTATTTAATTTTTGGATTCAACAAACTAAAACATTGGTATGAACTATAAGATAATGAAATATATCTTTTGAAAATATCTTTACTTTGTATGTTAATATGTTTTGGGTGTGACAAAAATAATTACAGTTTATCACTCTATATATATAATCATATTAAGAAACTCAATTTATACATGCACTTGTTACAAGAACTTATCTCATTTTTAACATGCACTTTAAGTTTGATTATGATATAACAAATTCTTTTGAGCTTCAATAGTAGCTGCTTCATAATAAATTCATTTTGTGTGCTTAGCTATGTAGTGGAGCAGCCTTAATCATCATGGAATAGACTCCTACGTCAAGAACAGCCATGATCGACTACATCGGCGTCCAGCCCGCGGGACGGCTTGTAAGGGACTGTGTATATTGGTGGGACGGGATTGGGACGACCTTTCGGGGACCGCAACCCACGCGGGACAGACCCTCTGTAGCCCGGGAAGAATGGAGCTCTTTGCGGTTCGGAACGGGACGAGACGAGACGGCTTGTTTAACATCTCTAGTTTGCAGCAAGAACTCCATCACTATCAAATGAAAAACCATCAATGATTGAAATCCGTAAGACCTCGAGTTTGGAGCGGTTGGAAATGGCAAGCATCTGAACACACTTGATTTCCAGAACGCTATATTCTGTCTCAAGTCTTTTACGGATAAAGGCGGTGCTCAGCTTTATGTTCTGCCAGGGAAATGGCTTACGGGAAGCTTCAATCTCACCAGCCATCTCACTCTCTTTTTGGAGAAAGGAGCAAACATTCTTGCTTCGCCGATATGATCTTGGCTTAAGTATCTTTTTTATAGCATTGGTTAATATCATAATATGGTAACATTTTTTATCTTTGCTCCTTAACAATTCTAGAAACCGTCACATTGGGACATCGTCAGTCCTCTACCGTCATATGGTCGTGGAAAGAGGTACAGAATTTTGATCAACGGAGACAATCTACTAGACGTAGTCATCACCGGGTAAATAAAATATACGTCTACACAATCATGACCCAAGTTTCTTACCTAGCGACATTGAGACTTGAATTCTTTTTCTTTTTTTGTGTGCACCAGACTTGAACTTCTTTATTTAATATTTGGCAGGCGATAACGAAACATTTGATGGTCAAGGTGCAGCTTGGTGGGAGTCGTTTGGATCGGGAACCTTGAACTATAGCCGACCTCATATCATTGAATTCGTCTCATCCAAACACATCCTTGTATCTAACTAGGGGAAGCCCGCTCTCCGCGCGGGATTTGATATATTTCAACAAAAAAACAATTTAAAGTTTATTTGTAAATGTATTGAAAAACTAAAATAATGTTTAGATAACGATATATTACATTTAAAAAAAAAAAATTAGAGTATAAAATTTCTTTTAATTATTTTATTAATTTTTTGTTCAAAATATTAAGAATATTTTATTTACAATATTATATATTAGTTAAATTTAATAAATTTAAATTACAGCTATTTTTATTGGGAATATTTGATAGATTTTATGTGTGTTGAAGCCATATGATAGAATACAAAAATATTAAATACTAAATAAAATTGGAGATTCAGTATACAGTACAATAAAAAGATAAAAATGTTTTGCTTCTGTTTAGACCAATATCATCGAAGTGATGCTTTATAATCGAACACAAAAAATAAAGTTTACTTTGCTTATCCTTGGCTGAATATATTTTACAAGACATATTTTAATCTTATATACATATATACGAATTTTATTTTACATATGCACCAAGAAAAAAAAACTCATACACAAATTCAATAACTTGTGTGATATTTGTAAGCCTGAAATACAGCTTCTTTGAGAAGATTTAGTAACAAAAATAGTTTGATTTTAATTTTGTCCTTGACTATAAAGTAATGATATAAATAATTCATGTATATATATTTCAAATTTGATTTATGTATATTTAATATTTTTAGAAATTTATAAATTTGATTCAAAACACAGAAAGCTACTTTTTGTAAGTTTCAGTTCACATGATATTTAACTATACATTTGACGTCCTATGAAATTATGTTTTTACTTTGTGAATCTTTTGATGTTTTAAAGTGAACTCACTGCATGAGAAACTGATGTTGCACTATAATTTAAAAAAAAAAACAGTAGCACACTAAACTAAATTAAAACAAACCTCTAAAATCAAAATATACTTAACTTCTTTGTACAACAAATGTTTTGTTCTTCTGTGAAATAAAAATTTTGGAACTTTTTTATCAGAGTTGAATCATAAGCTGTAAGTACCCGTTTTTCTATAGTGACACATTCTATTGTTTTTGGAATGTGCTTATGTTTATCCATTGTTTTAACAGGACGGTCCAACCAAGCATCTTCCAAAACTAACACTTGGCTAAATTCACATTAATATCTGATACTGTGTAGTTCAAAAGCCACTTTAAGAGACCGTTCCCAACGCTCCATCGTTTACAAAAAATATCAAGCCTTTCAGTTCAATAGCAAGAACTGGTGCATTCTTCAGGATCTCTACTGAAACAGAATAACTCTGGACCGGTGCAAATCTTGCAGAGATCTGCATTATTTATAATAAAAAAGCAGCTGGAGATTACATTGCCATGGTGATTATAATAAGCTTTGGTAATAAAAACTTTGATCGTCTCTTTTACAAAAAAAAAATAGTGTAGAAGATAAAAAAAAAATAGAGTAAAATATCTCCATTCTCTGAAAATAGGCACATTGCTATATCTGTTCTACCTTTTAACAAAAGAAAATATTCAAAAGTAGAGAACAAAGTTGATAGAACAAAAAATTTCGTGGACTCTAAATTGAAGAAACCAAGGAATCACTTTTGATCATGTTTCCACAGCATCAGATACGTCATAAGAGCCTTCTAAAACAACTGCTCGAGCCTTTTTAA